GACTGTATTTCAGATATTATGCTGAATTCTACAGGCATGTCGACCAGGAATTTTTCATTGGTATTTATCAACTCATCAGTCATGAACTCATTTTTATTGCTACTCTTCGTCTTCTTGCTCCTTACGTGTCCTTCGAAGGGTAGAGGCGGGATGAAAGGATCCTCGCTGAACTTCTTCACCCGGCCAAACATCTGCATTCTGACCTTCTCTATTCGCTCGTAATTATACTTTCTATCGTTTCTCACGGTCATAAATTCCTTCAGAGAGACCAGGAGTCGCTTTTCTCTTCTATTCAGGTGTGTATGACTCAGAAAGGTATTGGAAAGCTCAAGATTGGCGTTAAGCGAGTTCAAGGTGTCGTACAGTCTTCTGGTGTCGCACATCAGCTGCTTCGCATCATAGGACTTTTCACAATTGACAATCTTCGAAGGAGGTAAGCTGAGAGCTTCATACAGCCTCAGCTGGATGTCTTCGAGCTGTATAACGTGAGGTTTCTCAACCAGCTGGTCTCTGTTGCATTCCTTCAACGGAATCTTGGATGACGAGGATTTGTTGCACGTTGCGACGCTCTTCAGAGGCCTGGGTATCTCCTCAAGAGAGACGTCCCTCTTCAGGTACTTCTCCAACGCTGTAAACCGATGTCGCACCTGGGTCCTCGACTTGTTGGCGAAGTACGTGGCTATTTTGGCCCAATCGTTAGCGTGCTTTTGGTGCAGCTCGAGCAGCCTCCTGTCGTCCTCGATCGTCCACGTGTTGTTGCATGTCCTGGTCATCATTAACTGGTAGTGCTCGTTCAGCTGCATCGAGGTTCGATGCGGCATCACGACACTGGCGATCTTGCCGAAATCCGGCCCGTACTTCTCCACCGCGTTCATGAGGGTCTTCGTTTCCACGTAGGTAAACTGCCCTTACGTAGGTGCGGCGCCTTCCGGTAGTTCCACCGGGCGTAGATCTGCTGCTTGGTCCTGTGCCGCAGATGATTCGCGATGTCCGTCCACGGGATGTAATCCCCGATCCTCAGTTGATGGATGACCCTGACGAGACATTTGTCCTCCTCCTTGGTCCAAGGACGTCCCGAGGACGGCATCTTCTTGATGGTGTTACACCTGATGAAGCACTGATAAGCGCTACGATTCGTCCCCACCAGTTCCGTAATGGCGTCCCAATCCTGATACTTGCATTCCTTGGCGTATCTCAACAATCTCCTGTCCTCCGCGACCGTCCATTCGCTTTTGTTACAATCCGGATGCAGGTAGATATTCCACATGGCCTGGCACTCACCCGGAGAGTGCTTGTCCTCAAAATCCATCCTGGAAATCTTGTGCCAATCGAATTCCCTCTCGCCTATGGCTCCTACCATCTCCCTGAAGTTTCTAGGCAACGTTAACACAGTCCTCTTAGTTTGCCCATTCGCTGTCTCCTTATCTGAATGTTGAGCAAGCTGTTTATCAAGGTTATCAAATCCTTCAGACAGTACAGATTCAATAGCTTCGTTGTGTATGGCTCTCAGAAGCTTCTCCCTGTCATCTCCCGACCAACGACTGGGTTTTTTAAGGGACGGCAGGAACAACTCGCCACGAGACTCCTTCAGCTTTATGTCGTAGTTCTTGGGCGGCCTGAAGTGGTTCTTATCCTTGAAGTAGGGCATGCCAGCATTGGTGATGAGAGGCTTAGTACGCAAACTGGATCCTTCGGAGTTCATTTTCTCATCTAACTCCTGTATCTTCCTCTCGCACTCCTGCAGCAGTGCCAGTAATTTCGTCTTGGCTGTCAGCAGACCTGAAATCAACTGCGCATTTATCTCGTAGGCGTTCAGAGACTCGAAGTCCTGATTTACATTGATGCAGCTGAGATATTCATCATCACTCCTAGGGTCTATCGATGGGGTGCTGTCGGATGGAGAGTTTTCACGAGCAAACTGTGGCCTGGAATTGCTGGTTGTAGGCAGAGATAGAGCTTCGGTCAGGGCCTGAATGTCAGCCTCGATGTCAGATTCGTCGGAGTCGCTCATAATGCAAAGGGAAAATTTCTTTCCACGTTTTTCCTCGATGGGTCTCTCGTGTCTCTACAAAACAGAATGAAATATAGTGACTAAAATAAACATAAAAAAAGATAAACTTACATACCAACTTGTCAATTAGATTCAAAACAGCATTGTGGAAGTGAAGAGTAACACCGGACAATTAACATCATCATGTCAACATCATTGTCAAACGAAATCATCAATATCAATCACACATGTTTGACAGAAATAGCGTGAAATCGGGAATCATACATATTTTTTTCTTCTGATTTTTTAACATCGTTATCTATCTCTTTTTGCAATATTTATCTTCACTCTACTCCGTTTTTCCTCTCTCTTTTGACGTAAACAAACACGTATCGATGGAATTGTCAAATGAGAGTTGAAACGCGAAAATCGAAAAATATCCCGCGCACATGCAATAGTGTACATACATACATACATACATACATACATACATACATACATACATACATACATACATACATACATACATACATACATACATACATACATACATACATACATACATACATACATACATACATACATACATACATACATACATACATACATACATACATACATACATACATACATACATACATGCATACATACAAACATACATACATACAAACATACATACATACAAACATACATACATACAACATACATACATACATACATACATACATACATACATACATATATATATATATATACAGGGTGTTATAAAAGTACCGGAACAGCAGAATAACTCGAAAAATATGAGTCCTAGAAAAAATGTTAAGTACTGGGTTTTTATAATTTTTTCTTGGCTATCTGACGTTCAGATAGCCAGGAAAAAATCATCAAAACCCAGTACTTAACATTTTTTCTAGGACTCATTTTTCGAGTTATTCTGCTGTTCCGATACTTTTGTAACACCCTGTATAGTAGCAGACGCCTATTTTAGTATGACTCCGGGCATCGATGAGATACTATTAAAGATCGACGGCCTTAGGGAGAATTCACACCTTGACAGAAAAGCAGAAAAAAGAAAAGCAGAAGCCAATCAGAATTCGCGTTGGCAGTAAGCTTCCCAGATAGCCACAGTAATTATTATAACATTATTTTGATAGAAAATGATGCATTTTGACATCAAAATGATGTCATAATAATTACTGTGGCTATCTGAGTTACTAGATAGTAAACTCGGTAATAGTAAACTACTGCCAATGCTAATTTGATTTACGTTGTTCATTTCTTTCATATAATTTTATATTGCACTCATTTTGCCACACATGATATTTTTGTTGATACGACATGTTTATTTATCGATCACACGCGTATACTATATATATATATATATATATATATATATATATATATATATATATATATATAGTATACGCGTGTGATTGATAAATAAACATGTCGTATCAACAAAAATATCACATATATATATATAGTATACGCGTGTGATCGATAAATAAACATGTCGTATCAACAAAAATATCATGTGTGGCAAAATGAGTGCAATATAAAATTCAAAGTTGACGCTGAATAGCGAGAAGCATATGAAAAGGGGTGCAGCGTTAAATTTTATACATATATTTATTGATATATATATATATATCAATTGATATATATATATATATATCAATTGATATATATATCATTGATATATATATATATGAATAGCGAGAAGCATATGAAAAGGGTTAAATTTTATACATATATTTATTGATATATATATAGCGTCAACTTTGATCACGTGACCTGTCTTGACGCTGAAAATGAGCGTTGAGCGTCAACATGAAAAGGTACCTTAATAAGTTCTAACACAGAGATCGCCAAAGGCCTGTCTAAAGAGGAGAACATCATTTTTGACCCTTACCGACACACTTTGCCTCTGGTTCGAGTCCAGGCTAATAAAATTCTTTAATTTTACTAAAAACTTTGCCTCTAGTGCGAGTTCAGACTAAAATCTTTTTATTTTACACGTATAATCAAAGGATTTTAGCCTGAACTAGCACTAGAGGCAAAGTTTTTTTGTAAAATTAAAGGATTTTATTAGCCTGGTGGTGGTGATGGTGGTGGTAATAATGGTAGTAATAGTAGTAGTAGTAGTAGTAGTAGTAGTAGTAGTAGTAGTAGTAGTAGTAGTAGTTAGTACTTGTCGACTGATTTTTTCTTCCTTTTTTTTTAAATTTTTTTCCTCTTTATTTACGACAAAGAGTTTCTCTGTGTCTTTATTTATTCTAACAGCGAGACCTTCACGAGGTGCAATTCAGCCTTTGGAGGAAATTTTCGCTGACTGCTGCGAAACAGTCACTCACGACAGTTGGGCAGCAGGGACAGAAGTGAAGCGGTGGGGGATACAAGAAATAAGCTGTCTCTCGGCGCATGACGTCACCGTCGGGATACCCGCACGAGTGACGCGAAGTGGCCAATCAATCCTTCGCTTCCCCAGAAATAATAGATACACGTGGATGTTGCCAGGGAGGGGACAAAATCCGATAGCAAGCGTTTCTGATTGGCCAGTTAAATTATTAGGAACTCTCTGATTGGTCGGAGAATCGTTGGGGATTCTAAGAAATTTGGACGGGTCCACAATAGATAATTTAAGCCTTAAGGCCAGTGTCCACGATACTAGGGTATCGATTTTGTAACTTTTCTAAAGCGAAAACGTGAAAAGCGAAAAATTTCCGCCAAATCACGCATTAATTTTAAAATAAAATTGATGTGCAATTGGCGGAAATATTTCACTTTTCACGTTTTCATTTTAGAAAAAGTTACAGAATCGATACCTTGAACTTGAACTGATTTCTAGCATCGTGGACACAAGGCTTAAGCGAGGAGCACACACGTTTGCATAGACACATAAGCGTAAGCATAAAAATCTTGATTGGTCTATGAACGTATGCATAAGAAATTCAACCAATCGAATTTCTTATGCATATGCTTATGCGCTTATGCAAGAGTGTGCGCTCCCCGCTTTAAAGCTTACTACACCTATAGCGGGGTCTACAATGGCAGCAGGAGTACAGAGTACAAGAGTAAGCAGTAAGCAGTACGAAATGGGATTTGCTCATTTCGTCGGGAGTAACGGAATCAGTCAATCCCATTTTGTACTGCTTACTGCTTACTTTTGTACTCTGTACTCTTGCTGCAATTGTAGACCCCGCTTATTGTAGATTCAGCTCAATACCAGGCACACACAACAGGCAATAGGAATAAGAAATAGAAAACATCAACCAATCAAAAATGGAGATATATATGTATATTATTCTCTGCTCCTATTAGTGGATATTTTCTATTTCTTATTCCTATTGCCTGTTGCTTAATTTTGTGCAAGCGGCTTAAGAAATTGATTAATCACAGTCGATTATTTCCCTTATTCTAGAATGTGATTGGTGAATTTCTTAAGATTTAGAGCTTACTGCAGCTATTAGATTCGACTTCACAATCAAGAATTAAAGATTTAGGGCTTAAGGGGATGCCGGAGAGACGGCCGAACTCCGATAGGTTAGCACCACACATATCTAAACATATGCACGTATACACATATACACATGATAGGTTAGCACCACACATGTTTAAACATATGCACGTATACAACATGCACATATGCGTGAAAATTTTCTGCACCGTTTTCTTATTTATTAGGCTTTTAAACTTATATCTAAAAATATACTAATACTTCTTCATTCAATTTCTAGTCGGAACCTATATATCTTATTTTGTACGTACAAACAGCAGAACTTTTATATTAAACAATTATTTTTTTCGACCTGACGACAGAAGTCGATAAAGAAATTTTAGTTTTTAAATTTTTTCTTGTTTTTAACATAAAATCAGTAGGTTCCCACTTTGTTTCTGTACGTGTTTTAATTGTGGAAAAGCATTTATTATTTTATTAAACCAATAAAAAGATTTCGGTGCAGAAATTAATAATTTAATAATTTTATAAATTTATTAAATTAATTTAATAATTTAATATTCAATTAAATAAATTAAATTGAATAAGCAATTAAATAAATTTAATAATTAATAAACAGTCAATTACATTAATTTAAGGCCAGATATACATACCGGGTTGGCAGAGAGAGGGGTGGGGGCCCCGCTCTCATTGCACGTCGACCCTGGGAAGTCCGGGGGGAGCTAGTAGCCCGGCTCCCCTCGATGCCCTTTCGGGGCAAGGGATGTCCTCTCCGGGGGGATACCTGTAGTATCCTCTCGGGGATGTGTCCTTCCTAAAGGACGCCGGTCGGGTGTCCACCGTGAAGTTATGCTTACGCGGTTCCGCGGTGGACATAACCCATATGACCAGGGGCTTCAGTCAGGTTTTAGGTCGGTCCCCGCCCGATAGTCCCTCGGGATACTACGGGCGGGAATCCACCACGAAGCCTCCTGACCCTCCCTCAGGGGTCAGGACGGCGAAGTTTGGTTTAGGCAAATTTCCTGACTATAAAAAAAAAAAAAAAAAAAGGCCAGATATACAACAGGTGTAGTAAGCTCTAAGCTTTAAAAAATTCACCAATCACAGTCAAGAATGAGGGGAATAATTGACTGTGATTGATCAATTTTTTAAGGTTTACTACATCTATTGTAGACCTGGCCTAATTATTTAATAAACAGTTAATTAAATTAATTTAATGTTGTCTTATTTTTTAGTAGACAAAACTTTCGATTGGTGACCAGATAATACAAAAATACATCTGCTTTCTTTGATATCCGTCGCGAGAGAGAGGGTGCGATTACATGGACGCGCGGAAACGCGGAAACGCGGAAGAGAAAGTAACTAAACTTTACTAGAGTCCCGCATTTCCGCGCGTTCCGTTCCGTCTGTTTTGATTGCCTTATATTACATGGAGCACATTTTGAGCGGAAAAGCGGAACGGTATAGTGACAAATAGACATTTGTATTAATTTTTTAAATTTATATTTACTTAATTCATTGTAATTCCTTTTAATATGTTCATCTTTTCAACTTATCTATTGAATACAAGCATTTTAATCAATAAATATAGTTAAATATTAATATTTTATAATTCCCCGTTCCGCTTTTCCGCTCAAAATGTGCTCCATGTAATATAAGGCAATCAAAACAGACGGAACGGAACGCGCGGAAATGCGGGACTCTAGTAAAGTTTAGTTACTTTCTCTTCCGCGTTTCCGCGTTTCCGCGTTTCCGCGCGTCCATGTAATCGCACCCAGAGAGAGAGAGAGAAAAAAAAATTTTACAATTTTTTTTTCAATGTCTTCAATGTTGTTAATTTAACCTAGTGACGTCATCTATCTCCAGTTAGTAGATTTTAGTAACCTACAGAATTTATATATATATATATATATATATATATATATATATATGTTTTATGTTTCTTTAATATTTTGAATTAGCAAAAAAAAAGAAGAAAAAGAAGGTGCCAACGGTACATGGTGTTCCCAAGCGGTCACCCATCTAAGTACTAACCATGCCCAACGTTGCTTAA